TCAGGCAGGGCTCACGCAAGACGAAGGCAAGGGCACACAGGACAATGGGGAACAGCACAAGGATTTACAATAACAAATACAACAGGGCTATGTACATGGCCCCTGAGCATGCTGGGATATGCTAATAGGCTCCCGCTATACGGAAGCCCTCCCACCGGTGCTACAGTGTTAACATTGGGGGGGTGGGTATATCGGGAGCAGAGGTGTGACGTCACGTCGCATTATAGGGCTAGTATGGTGGTTTAGTGTGGTGTCTGTGAGAAAGCATCTGCCAGCAGGGGGCGTGTTTCCTAACTATGTAAGTTAGCAACTGTGCTTTTGGGAAATGCAGCCCAGAGCGGGAGACTCAACCATTTTAACGGCGGGTAGGGGGTCTCTGGGTGAAAACGGTCAGAAAAAAATGTACATTATGTGATGTGTTATATTTGTCGTATGTGTTTTATATTTTTGTAAACCAAGAATTCCAATTATAATTCATAAATTATCAAAACCTAGATGTTATATATATAAAAAAACGCGTGATTCCTCTGACCAGTTTGTCCTGCATTTCTTTGTTCCAAGACCACACATGTATTTGTTTCATCTTCCAAAAAATACTCGCAAATAGCCGACCACCATTTTAAACGTGTGATTAATCATAATTAATCACAGCCTATTATTGTGATTAACTGGATTTTTTTAATCGATTGACACCACGAGTTTAAAGCCATTTATCTGGGAAGTAAGTTGTTCTGGGAAAAAACCCTAAATCATCACTTCAGCTCCCAAACCTCCTCAGGGCACCACAGCCAGTCCATGTGTTCCTTACATTTCACCACCAGCTCACTTCATTCACTAATTAAATTAGCTAAAAATGTCAATGAGATATTGATTAGTGGTCAAGTAAAAAAAAACATGGATGCACAATTTCTGCAAACACTGCAGTGACTTTAGGAAAGTTTTTGGATTGGCTCAGACACCAACATGAAGATCCTTCTCTCTGGCTGCCTAAGACTTTAGCACAGTACTGTACATGTACAGAATGTTATGAGGCTCTTACTCTTCTCCAGTAATTCAGCGAGATTATTTTGCTTCATGGTCCTCAGGATGTACAGCGTGATCTTCAGAGCTCCCTCTCTACCACAGGTCTTCTGCATCTGACCATCACTGTCCAGGTCATTGTCCTCCTCCAGCTGAGGCTCAGAGCATTCTTGGTAATTCTGATCTAGGTACCTCACAAACTTCTTCAGCTCATCCTTTAGGAATTTTACAGCTTTTTCCTCTAGTGACTAAAATAAGCACAGTTAATTATTGCTACTTGCGCCAAACCTTGTCAAAGTTTTATTTGTGAATTATAGTTTGAAATATATTTCCTTTAACGGGATGGATTTCTTGTTATACAGCTATAAAAGATAAGCTGACATAACGGTTGAGAAAATATACATTAGCAATAAATACAAACCTTCAATATGGATGATAAACCCGATTTATCATGTAGATCTGAACTGCATTCTTCCATTTGGTCTCTGTGAATAAGGCAGAAAAGTTAATCTAATTCAATCCAGTTCAAATGTATTTATGTAGAGCATTTTCACAACATTATATTGTCTCAAAGCGCTTTACATCATCCCTGCCAAATGCCCCCAGAGAGCCAGCCAGAGGCGACAGTGGGGTTTTTTTTTTTTGGGGGGGGGGACAGCATGTAGCTCAACAGAGTAATGCTGCATTCCATTTGCCCTCGGAACTCGGATTCCAAGTCGGATTCCGAGTTTTTGAAGCCGGAAGTGACGACATGCGCACTCCCGTTATGGAATATTATTATAATACTATGCATTCATTATAAAGTTTCTTTCCTCATAGCTTGTATCTGTCTCTGAGCCATTTGACTGAGAGTCTGAGTGTTTAAAACTGTGTTTGTTTAAATGCACATTTACCTTTGATCTGATGGAAAAGGTCCCTCTCTGAAGGTGATTGGTTCAGCCATTGACACGTCACTCTTCAGGGAAACACAGCTGGGTACAGGGGAGTCTGCTCTCATCATCAGGACACTGTGGGCAGTGAGAGGAAACAAAAAAAAAAAAAATTGATGTAAAACAGTAATGGACACACTTTATGTCCGGCCTTGGTTGTAACTTCATTGTTGCAATAAAGACTGAATTTGGATCTACACCAGCGGCTTCTTACTTCTGATTTGGCGAGGAAGGAAAAACCAACAACATAAATTGGCGTCACGAACAGGATCGGAGAAGAGACCTGGGGAGGCGACCACCTGGTTGAGAACCGGGGGACACCCGTCTGCATTAAAGAGGTGCACCCTAAAGATAGGTAAGGACAGGTTTCATTATTGTTTAAAAGAATAGGGAAATAGAATAGGGAGACGGAGACGGGGGTGTCTCGGGGGACATAGGCCGCCAGGCAGGGCCTCCTGGTAAGGGCACTCGCCGATTAAAAGAACTAAAGTTAAGAGAGCCGCTTGTGTAGTATTCAATGGGCCCAGTGTGTATGTGTGATGTGAGAGAAATCCCTAAAGGGAGGGTCACGTGTGGGTATTCCCTCAGAAATAAGCACCCTGAAAGAGAGGACAGTCTAATCTGAGGGTTTGGGATATTGTCTCAAGGCAAAGAGGCCTTGAACAGTTTAATAGTGATTTAAAGGTAATTCCCTGAGAGAGGGAACGGTCTAAGCTAAAGGTTTTACTATTGTGGGGCCTGGGAGGCCCGTGCGTTAAGTTGTTTAGAGACACTACCCTAGAGACAGGGGGGTCTGTTTTGTGAAGTAAAAGTTGTATTCCCCTAGAGACAGGGGGTCTATTTGTTGTTACGCCCTAAAGAGAGAGGTACGTTCATTGTTGTGGAGCAGAAATATTGTGTTTTTGAAGTAAAGACATAGTTGCGGTAGAGAAAGGCCAGAGAGAGCTTGTGTAGTAAAAGTGATTCAGAAGTTCTGCCCTGAGAGAGGGCCATTGTTTGTGCTGCAGATTCTTGGATCAGTGTGAGTCAGAGACATCGCCCTAAGAGAGGGGGGTCTCCTTGCTCTGATAAAGTAAAAGTTGGGTTGCCCTAAAGAAGGGGCCCGTGTGTTTTACGTTATGGGAAAAAGTGCTGTAATGTTGTAATGCAAAGTTACTGCTAAGTTGCAAAGTGAATGTTCTAAGTGAAAGTGCTGCTGAATTGCAAATAAAAGAGTGATAAGGCCAGAGAGAGCCTAAATATTAAAAGTTGTGGGGATCTTAGAGGTCTGCTGGATCAGACTGGTGTGTTAAAGGTACGCTGAGAAAAAAATAAAATAAAGGCCTGAAGAGCCATTAGTTGAATGGGAAAATATTATGCAGAAGTGGGGAAAATAATTACGTACGCAGTTTTGGGCCAAATCGGGGGAAGCCCACGTATATGTTCAACGGATAAGTTGCAAGTAAAGGTGTATAAAGCAGAAATAAGTACTCTTAAAAAAAGGGGGGGGAAAGCTTGAGAAGCTAAAATTAGAAGAGATCAAGCTAGCAGGGGGTCTGGATAGAGCATTTTTGCATTTCCATTAAACGTCATTGACAGTAGTGGAAGTGCGGGTTGGTAAATTTAGAACTTTGACAAATCCTAAAATAAATGTTTTTGAATGACATGTTGTGATTAGTATTTTATGGATTATAGAGACTAAGTTTAGAGATAAAGGGTATTAAAGCACATCTTTGTGAGAGAATAACAGTTCATAGACAAGAGGCTTTGGTATATGTGAGCCCATAGATAATTGCGTGCAGTGTTAGAGGTTTTAGTTAGAAGAGGGAATAAGTAGAAAATAATTTAGAGGCAGTGACACATCAAGGTGAAGCAGGTACAGTCAGGGAGAGAATTCTTATTAAAAAAAAAAGAGAAGAGCACGGGTTGACTGTGAGGAACTAATAATTTTTATATCAGACAGGAAAACAGTTCAAGTGACAGTAGAGTGCAGGAAAGCATTAAAATGCAGCCCCCAGTAAAGGCAGCAGAAACACCAGTACAGCAGTTGGGGAGAGAGCACCCTCTGCTTAAAGCAAGGATAGAAAAGATGTGTAAAAAGTGGGAGAATAGAACAAAGACCCTGGTAACTAAGTGGCCTAAAGGGGGCACATGGGATGTGGCAGTGTGTGAGGAGATGGAGATTCTGATAAAGTATCATAAGGTTAATAAGGACACAGAAAGGTGTAAAAAGAAAAGGAGTAAGGAATTGGAGGTTTTGAGGTTATTTAAAGCAAAGGGAGAGGCCTGGAGAAGGGAGCAGAAAGCCATGAGAAAGGCACTATTTGAGAAGGGAGGTGAGAAAGAAGAGATGAGGCAGGAAGCATTATGGCCACCATCTTATCAAAGTCAGTGTCCGTTAGTGGAAGCCCCCCCTACTTCATACAAGGGTCAGTTTCCAGTAATAGAGGGGAAGGTAGAATTCAGAGGGGAGGTGACACAGAAGGATGAAGGAAGTGGGGAGCAGAAAGGAACGGGAAGTTGTTTAGATGGATACAGGAAAGTGAGTGCATTGTTGCGGCAGGCTGTGCAGGAAGGACTGCGAGGGAGTGAGATAACAGGAGGACAGGTATGTGGGTCTGAGAAACAAGGGAGTGAGATAAAGGTGGGGTATGGAGCAAGTGGTAGTAATGCAGAAGGGTTGGTGCATCTGCTGGACACCCCTAACCCTCCATCTAAAGGATGGAGTCAGTTTCAGGAGAAGGAGACAGAAACAGAGAGTGAGGAAGGAGTAGAGGAGGATAATGCAGATCATAGAATAGTGAGAAGCAGGAGGGCTGTAAGGTCCCCACCAGGTACACTCCGATGCTTCCGTTAATGGTGAAAGGAGAACAGATACAGTATGTGCCGTGGGCAGGACAGGATATGGAGGGCCTGATTCTCAGACTCCCAGTTCTGGCAGAAGGGGCCGGAAAATGGATAAAAGCATTTGAGGAGGAAACTATGGGTTGGCTGCTGGCGATAGGGGAGATAAAGGCGGTTCTGGCTTGCGTTTTGGGGGTAGACGGAATGGAGAGACTGCCGCGAAGCAGTGGCCTGGACTCCTGTGAATGATGCATGTCACTTTGACGGTTACCGTGCTAACTGCTGGCATCAGCTGCGACTAATGTTTCCTCCACGGCTGAGTGTGGTTGAAATGAAGGTGGAGCCCATCAAGGAGGGGGAGAGCCCAGCTGCCTATCTGCAAGCTCAAGAAAAGCGGTGGCGCACTGAGACGGAGCAGGACCTGCAGAATCCGGCATTCAGAGGTCGGTACCGGAGGGCACTGCAGGACGCGCTCCCTAAGCCAGTGAGAAGCAGGCTAAGGCAGGTTGTGGGGCTCGTTACTATGCCTGAGGAGCAGTACCGTGAGCAGCTGATCCATGCTATTGACTTGTACAGAGAGGAGGAGGACTTTGCTAAAGAGCGTGAGAGGGAACTGACAAAGAAATGGAATCAGATGCAGCTGGAGGAGCTGACCGCTAAAAAGAAAAAAGTCCAAGCACCAGTGGTCTCTCCGGACCCAAGCCCCGGGGGCAGCCTGTGGACAGCTGACAGTCTCCTGTCGCTGGGGCCCCCCCCAGGATACAAATTGGCCTGAGGTCCCTAATTGGAACAGAGTGAGTAGATACAATGGATGGGGGTTTCCTCAGACGGCACCCATTTACCCACAAATTTGAGGATCCTAGACTCTGGGGAGACTGGGGAACAGGCTGTTTCAGCTGGTGTGCTGGAGCTGTAATCAGCCTGGACACACCTCTATGTTCAAAAATCTTGTTTAGAAGATATTTAAATTTTTTGTAACCTATGCCCATACTAATATCAGAGCATATCCCAGTGAATTTGTCAGGCAGAGATGCTTTGTGTCAGCTGCAGATAGACATAAAATGTACAGAGGGGGGCGTAGAGGTGCTCAGTGGACAGTACAGCCTTCTGCGAACAAAATTTGTTGTTCAATAGGGGACAGCATAGTTCATACGGGATTGAAGATGTTACTGATAAAGTTTGGGAAATCTTAGAACAGTGGGGCCCTTTTATACAGGAACAATATAGCAATAGGCTGAATTGGACATAGAACAAACATACTTGTTTGTTGCGATGGAGAGATTTCAGTGTGAGGGAATGCAGGCTGCTACCGAAGGTGAGTTGGTGACAGTCAGTGGAGTGCAGAGTGAGTAGGAGATTTCAGAGGTTTGTGGCTGTGAAGCATGATAGGAGTGCAGTGTGAAGGGAAATAAAGTGTAGAGGTATGTTGGCAGGAGATGTAAAGGGAAGTGCTGAGGAGGTGTGGACCACCGTGATATGGATGTAGGCCTAGTAAAGACAGGTAACCCGGGTATAAGGAAGATGACAGAAGGGTTTCTGCAGGTAGTGGTGGTGCTTATCACCAGTACCTGCGACATCTTCCTCCTGCCTGTCCCAAAGGCGGGAGGCAAAATGTGCAGGTTAGTTTATGATTTGTGTGCAGCAAAATAGTTAGTGGAGGATCACACCCTGCTAACAAATGTGTCCCCTACTGCAAAATGGTTTACGGTTGTGGATTTGTGTTCAGCGTTTTTCAGTGTGTCCCTAACATAAGTCACAGTTTTTGTTTACGTTCACCTATAGGGCTCAGCAGTTCATCCACGCCAGGATACTGCAGGGATGTGAACATGTGCTTAGGGCAAATTTGGATGGATTGAATTTAAGAAGCACAGCGCTACAGTATGTAGGTGATCTTCCTCATTTCATCTTTGACTGAGAGTCTGAGTGTTTAAAACTGTTTGTTTAAATGCACATTTACCTTTGATCTGTAGGAAAATGTCCCTCTCTGAATGTGATTGGTTCAGCCATTGACACATCACTCTTCAGGGAAACACAGCTGGGTACAGGGGAGTCTGCTCTCTCCATCAGGACACTGTGGACAGTGAGAGGAAACAAACCCTCATGGTATAAATATAATACATACAATGGGGACGGCATCACACTGCTGTTTAGCCTTCGGCTCTGCCCTCATGTACTTTGATATGCTGGGAAGCTCTTGATTTGGTAGTTTTTCTTGTTTATATATTTGTTTGCTTGTTCCAGTTTTTGTTATGTGGCGATTTTGGATAGGAGGGATGATCTGTTGCTTGCCTCTAGTATAAAAGAACTGCCTGATTGTGTTAGAAAAAGGTGAAGAAAGAAGATGGCGAGGTCTTTTTATTAAGCTACACATATTACAGTGCTGCCCACTGAGCCAGCCCTAGCTAGGAGCCCAGTTTACTTTATGTTATGGCCTGACTATAGACCCAGAGAGACATGCATGCTAGTGGCTGTAACACTGTTACCTCTCAGTGCTCTTTCCGTTACACTCCACAGGGGGGCGCATTTCAGAAGCAGCTTCCTCCATTTTTGTGCCGATCCAGACCAGATGATTCCTGCTGGGGTCTCTGTGAACATAAAGGGTAAACAGATACATACATAAACAATATATAATACTCAGCACTCATACATCGAATCAACGCACTGGGTCTCCATTCTGTTACTCTGACACATTTCATGTCCGGGCTGCAGACTGACTTTCTCCGCTAGTACTGAGAAAGTTACTGAAAATTTTAGGAGCACCAGCACAAAATTCAGATTCAACATTTAGATCGAGATGTAGTGCAACACCTCTTAACTGTATTACTGATAAATGCTTTGGGAATAAATATACAATTTACAGAAATAACAAAGTGACGTTTTTTACGGAAGAGGATTAGGGCCACCATGAAAATATTATTTGAATTCTGATTTTAATCTCAGAATTCTTAGAATTCTGAATTTAGGAAAAAAGTAAGAATTCTGAGATTAAAATCAGAATTCAAATAATATTTTCACGGTGGCCCTAATTCTCTTCCGTACGTTTTACTTTAAAGGAGAAAGACAAAAAAGTGAAGTAGCGCTTAAATCAATGGCACCGCCGCTCTATATAAGTGTTTCATACATTTTATTATTAGTTCAGTATAATCTTACCTGCCAATGAAAAATATCTTAATTTTTTTCCAGAATCTTATTCGTGTGTCTCGACAAAATGGCGATTCCAGGTTTAAATTAAATCACTTTCACTTTCATTTACAGACAGGAAATTATCCGCTTCGTGTCAAACGCGGATTCGCGGAAGCGGTCTGAGCAGAAACGGACGCGGACTCAGTGGCACGGCGGACAGTTTTTGGGAATTTTATCCGTGTGACTTAATAATAAGCGATAAGCGAAAGGGGACAAGCTCCCGCCGCCACCTAATTCTGTCATAACGCACATTCTGCATTATATTTCTGCATATAAAACGCTGATGTTCCCGTTATTTTTTTCCTGTGCGCTGAATTACTGGCAGCTTTTAAATTCCTAAATTCTCTATTACGAATTAGTGCAAAAGCATCGTGGCACATTTTTCCCTTTGCATAGTGTATCCCATGTTTCTGGTCACATTGTTCATCCAGGGACACGGTGATGTCACTTGGGACCTATGGCGTTATATATGTGACTCATCCCTGAGCTCATAGACTGACTTTCACAAGCAACATCTCCACAACATCCCCGCTCATTTTTGTCATATTTGCGCCACAATTATTAGCCAATCGGAGACCCGAAGTATCCAATTTCTGATTGGTCAATTTCCTTTCCAGCCTCTTTACAGAAGGTGACTAGAAGAGAAGTTGCACAAGGAAATGCGGAAATTATTTTGCCTACTGGACAAAACAAGATGTTAAATATGATGACACTTGTGTCAGGTAGAACAGGAATAACTAATGATCACAGTTAAGTTTTAATAAACATGGCGCATAACAGTGACAAACCTCTCTCACGATCCCTTTCTCCTCCTCTATCCCATATCCCAGCAACGTCACATTCCAGAACCATAACCATACTAGTGCATGCATAGAACACAACAGACATGTTCAGTAAAGTCTGGTTGAAGCAATGACCTGTGGGGCACAATGCACACCTCTTAATTTTCAGATGATGAGATTTCAGATAAGTTCAGATTTCTTTCCAGACTGATAGATGTCAATGACTTTGTTTCTCATCTGTCCTTGAGTTTCCTTAGATGAGGGGTAGCCAATCTTATCCGCAAAGGGCCGATGTGTATGCGGGTTTTCGCTGCAACTCCCCAATTCGATTACTAATTAGAGGACTGATTGGCTGAAAGAGTCCTCACACCTAGGTTTGAACACCTGACCTACAGGTTATCCCAAAAACCTGCATACACACCGGCCCTTTGCAGATAAGACTGGCTACCCCTGCCTTAGATTGTGGGATGACGTGTTGCTTTGTTAGATATTTTAACCTACTTCACTTTGTCAGACAGGTTCTAGTTCAGTAATTTCTTGATTGACCAGGTCTGGCAGTAATCAGGGATGGGTGTGGCTAGTGAAACTGAACTCAGCTTTCCAATAATTGTGGTTGATCAAAGTTAATTCATGATTTATCAATGGGGGTGGGGCCAATTACTTTTTCACATAGGGCCAGGTAGGTTTGGATAGCTTTTTTCACTTAATAAATGACATCATCCTTTAAAAACTGCATTTTTTATTGACTCTGGTTATCTTTGTCTGATATTAAAATTTGTCTGATGATCTGAAACATATATGTATAAAAATAAGTAATCAGGATACTTTTTCACATCACTTTATATATAACCTGCATTGGGAATATACACTCACCTAAAGGATTATTAGGAACACCTGTTCAATTTCTCATTAATGCAATTATCTAATCAACCAATCACATGGCAGTTGCTTCAATGC